GCACCCTTCACAATCCCGATGGCCACAAACACCCTTCACAATCCAGAACCCCAAGTTCAGTGGTTTGAGTTGGTGGTTTCCAAATCAGGGCTGTGAGGATCCCTACATATGGATTTTAGATCCAAGCCAACAGCTCCCCATTCAGGAGTTTGGATTCTTTCCTTCCTCAAGCTTTAAGGATTAAGGATTATAAGGCTGGGTAAGGATTACGGACTAATGCGGATTAAGGATTGTTCGGATTACAAGCATTTTTCGGATTAGCAGGATTGCGGATTAGTTTTGTAGGCGCGCTCATTTTGATGAGCCCAGGTTGTATACCGTCATTCCACCGGTGTCTTTGTTTCATTCTGCCACAAGACAGACTGGCACTGGGGTTCCTCATTGGCACGACAAAAAGGCCTTACTCAACAAGGAGGTCCATGGATTCCTCGGCGAGTTGTGTGAATCGACATCAAAAACTCCCAGAGTATATTTCTGCGGTTATATAATCACGCTCACCTCCATGATCCGCCATCAATCGCTAGACCATGAAATCAGGGGACCAGTCGTGATTTGGATCTTTTAAACAATTCTGTCGTGCCAAGAATCACTGGAGGTTATGAGAATATGAGAGTTGTTCAACCAAGAGTTCCACCTCCAACTCTAAAGTCGAAAGCTGCGTTGCTTGGATTCCGTCCGTGGGCGCGGGTTCGGACGCTCGGCCTCTCGGCACCGTTCGGACCCGAAAAACCGGTGCACCGTTCGACCCACCCGACTCTCGACCGGCCTAGGTCCACTGGGGCCATCACCTTCGGCGTCTTCGAGGAGAAGATGCGAAGTCCGGCGGTGCGGAACTACTTCGAGACGTTGGGCCTCGACGCCCGGAGGGGTCGAGACCGGTACGACCGGTTGGGTGGGCGTTTTTTGGGGGAGGGAAGGAGGGAGGGAGGGAGGATCAGAAAGGGGAATGAGAGCGGGATGGATCAGACATGGGATATGACAGTTGGTCTTTTGAAGGATGTTGCAGGTATATAAAATCATAAGGATGCTGAATCCTGAAGGCTCAAGCAAAGGGCTAAAAAGGTGTCGACCTCAGTTCTGACATATCCACAGGTTTCCACGCAGTTGGTGAACTGCTGCAAACGAACCTTGACCTATAGTGGCCAAAGCCGTCATGGAAGCCAGGTCATTTTCAGAATGGAGTTTCAGTGCCAGTCATGGATCTCCAGAACAGCGTGGTTGGATTTTTCTGCGACGCGATCGCCGTCTAAGGACGTTTGGGACCCCTGGAGTTTTTTCAAGTTGCTTGACTCTGATGGAGGCCGGAGTTCTTGATGATCATGGCCGGAAGCGATGTGGTTGAAACGCCCCCCCCAAAAAGGGATGATCCTATATGAACCAATAGGTTGTGATATTTGATAGTGACTTTATAATGCATTCAGGAAGGGGGATTGCAAGATGCCTTGTATTGCCATGATTTTCTTCACAGTTGAAATTAAAAAAAAAACGTGTTTCCCCAACACCCCCCTCCAAACACAATTACATGATACAGTAATGTGTCTAAAACTGCCGGTGATACCGCAGTGTGGGTTCTTTGTTCGCGCAGGAGGCTCGGTCGAAAGAGAGGAGTTTTTTATGGGATGCTTACGCTTCAGCGGTCAAGCGCGTGCAATGGACGTGGGGAAGATCATTCAGGAGAGCGACGTTTTTGCCGCGCGTCGTCAATGCCCTTTGGTGAACGTGGGGTGAACCTTCGGCCGAACGACAAAAACGAGTTCAGCTTCCAGTGGCCCTTAGAAGAGTTCAGACTTTTTGCAGGTCTCAGGGAAGTTGCCTCATGATCTATTTCTTGTAGAAATCCTCTTATAGGGCATAGGGTCGCGATGATCTCCTTCCGACCTTTCTCGGATGAGGCTGTGGGGATGAAGCTGGGACCCTCCGGCCCTTTCCGTCGCAGCGTGAGGACCAATCCTGGATCTTAAGGAACCAGGGACGACGCTTGGAATTCGACGCGTGGAATTCGGGACGACCAAACCCGAGGATTCGGAGGCTTTGGGTGGCCAAACCCGGGTTCTTGCGAGCGTTTTGCAAGATTTGCAAGCTCTTCAATGCCCCAATCACTTATGGACCTTGTAGTTCAACGTTCATCACAAGGTAGGAATCGCATCATCATGCAGAGCTTGAGCCTCGTGGTGCGCTTCTGAACTCCGCCCGTTCCTTTCGCCCGTTCCTTTCGCGACAAACCCAGGATTCCAGAGCTACATGGAAACAGAACTCCGCAAGCTGCGAGAGGACCGATGTTGGGAGGACCTTTTTTTCCAGGACCTACGAACGTAGCAAGGTGAAGACGACGTTCACGGGGCGCTCCTGGCCGCCACTACTATAGAGCAAGGTTCGCTACGAATTCGGAGCATTGCGGGACGCTACTAGAGGTAAAGAGCATGGGTCAGGGCCAGTGGGGAGCATCGTTCAGAACCTAGGTGTTGAAATTTAGTAAGGACATGGTCAGAGGGACACTATGTGTTAAGCAATGCCATGATTTGCGGAAGGTTGCGTAATGTTGCGTAAACAGTTTTTGGCTGTAGTACAACGTAAGCCAAGTGCCGAAGCTTGATCTTTTCTCCTTGGATTTGCATGTGCGCTTGGGAAACCAATCCGAAGTGCAAGCGTGTGTGCGACCGTTCGCTCCAAACATAGGCTTTGAACAACGCTCATTTGTATTAACGCCCTTTTGTTTATATATGTTATGTGTGTGCTCTTTTTTCAGCTTGGCTAGGACATGAAGCCTGGATTTCAGTGCAAATGGTGCTCTAGGCAGATCTGAACACCAGGCGGCGGTTTTTTTGTTGCGGCTCCCTTTCTCTCTCTCTCTCTCTCTATCTCTTTCTCTAACTTGTTTGTTTGTTTCTATGCTTTTCCTGGCTCTTTTTGGTTGGAATGAAACCCTCTGAAAATTGGATTAGTTTTTGGAAGCGGGAACCCCGTTTTGAAGTAGAAATGCAGTGTAGTGTAGAGCTTGTGTTTCCCTGTTTGTTTGAGAGTTTGTGCTTGTTTTTTGCCCACACTGAGATGTATCTCAACAAGCAGCAGTTCCGCACTGAGAGGATCGGCTGCGAGAAGTATCGGGCAGCCAGATGTGTTGTGCTAGAGCAACGTTTTGAGACAAGAGTTTTGCGATTGGATGTTGATTAGCTTGGAGCCTTTGTTTGGGTTTGCAGACGCTTAGTAGCTTGTTTTGCTACACTCCCTGGAATCATCATGGAAGTGGAATGAAGGTTCCACACCAGCCATTTGTAATGGAACATGGTGATCCAAGGGGCCATGAGGGCCACTTCCATGATGAATCCAGGGAGTGTAGGAACCCCGACCTGGACACCACCGAGACGCCCCAAAGAGGTCGAGCCAGGTTGGTCAGGTTGAGCAGCGCGGCACACGATGGCCCAAGGCCAAGATGTGCGCCGTATCTTTTGAGAAGAAAAGGGGTCACTTTCAATGGCGCGGGGCATGCAGAGAGGTGTAGAGATGACATGAGATGAGAGAGAGAGAGAGAAAAAAAAAACAGAGAGAGAAAAAACAACGACAACACTGTTCAAATGCTTTTTAGAGGGGATTTACTTATCTATTTGAGTTATTTGAGGTCATTGCAGTTGGGCGTGGTCTTAGGGAGGTACTCCACATTCGTCCACATTCCCAGCAAGGAGGTTGGCTCAAGAGCATGAGATGCCTTGTGCCGCAAACAGTGCCAGACACGGGCAGCCCAAGCTAAGGCTACGAGATCATCGTGCCAAGGATATTCCTTGGAATATCTTGGAATGTCACTGGAACATGAAGAACAAACCAAAGACACTAATACTTAATAGGTGTAATATAGACACCCTCAATGTGATATTTGATAATATATTTAACATATATGCATGTATATAATATTATATAACATAGTCATGGATGACATGCATGAAGCCGATGTGCACTTGCAGCTTCCGTTCGCAGTTTGTGCAAGATGACAGCTCGTCCAGCGACACCTCCGAGACGTGTCTATGGCAAGCAGCCGGAAGCTGTGCTGAAACCATTCAATTCGCGATCGCGTGTTTACCCTTCCAGGTTGGATTCTCGAAGAGCGGGCACCCAAAGCAACGGATTTTGGTTGCGCTGTGCTTCAGCGCAATTAGCAACACATGTCGCTTCGTCCCTGTCAGATGCCGCTAACTCATGGAAAGAAGTACAGTAGATTAGATGAGCCAAACCAGCTCTGGTTAGTGCCAAGTCTTGTGTATAGTATAGGACCTTCTGTCCTCCACAGTGAGGAATGCCATAATCGGTCCACTTTTAGGATCTTTCAGGTTCCTTGGTGATGCCTACACAGTTTGAGCAGCCGGAGCGTTCAGAACAGAGTGTTGTCAAACCATTGTCAAACCATGATGCTTCTCAACGATTTTTGGGAAGTTTGTGGCAAATGCCACGGGATGTGTGTCAACTTGTGTCTCAGAAGGTCTCACCAGGTTGGTCCCCTATTGATCCTATCTTGCTTATCGGCCTATTGGATCTTCTTTATTTGTTATTTGGGTCATTTCTTGGATGCTTGGGGCACACTGATTGACCTTCGATAGATCGTGTTCTTGATCATCGGCACTGGTTAGCAGCGAATCGTGAGTGTGGACACAATTGCGAGGACATGATCCTGGACTTGCGGCCTTCACTGCAGGCATTCCCCACAGTATCCTGAACATGACCCTGAAAAAGTCTTTTCCGCAACCAGCTAAAGTCAGGTGGTATTATATAGAGGTACTTAGTATATTGCTAGCTCTTTAGCTAGGTTTCGTACCACTACAAAAGCCGTACTTGTCACAAGTTACGTTGCGGCATGAGCAGCCGCAGTTGTATATGCTTTTGTGCATTGGATGTTGCTTCTTTGGCCCAGGATGTTGCGGGCACGCCAGTCCCAGCCGCTCCATCAAAGCATAAAATTTTTGTGACCTCGTCGAAGACCGGAGAGTTTCATTGTGGTCATCCCGCAGGATTGGTTCGATGTGTTCGCAAAGGTCGAGGGATGCCGTGTCGACAAGAAGTGTGTCATAGTTGTAGTACACTCTGGGAAGGGTCCACATGGAACCTGAAAACTACGCCTGGTTTGTAGAGGAAGCTATCGTCTTCCAGTCAGGTCCATTTTCGTCGGTTCCCATGTGGACCTCCTTGCCGGGTGGGATGTGGATCTTAGTTCGGCATCCAAACTGGGCATGGGAAGCTGCATGTGATGCTTAGTACAGATCCATGGGATCGCCTACCTGAATCGGTGAGCTGGAATCGGCGGCAGTGACAGAACCAATGGATTCATAGATGTGAGTCTACTGTGGGCCCCTAGGACTATCGGTTTGTAGAAACATCAGCAAGAATTGCAATGCTTTTTATTGAGTTCAGGCAGGTAGTAGACACGTTATCCAGGAGAAACCATGCAGGACTTGCCCCCCAGCCCCATCAAGACTACGTATGCTTCAGCTATTGCTCAGTTGTTCAGCATGTCTACAGATTTGCCTCAGGTGAACGAGTCTGGCCCGATGACCTTTTACATTCCGCCCTGCGCTGATCACTTAAACCTTTGCGACCTCATCAAGAAAGGAGGAGGGAAGATTGCACAGAAGGCCGGAAAGGATGCCATCAATATCGTGCCTGAATCGGCCACTTGGCATCGTTCTCAACTAAGCAACTAATTAGTTTACGAGAGCAGGCCTTGGGCAACCCAACACTTATATACATCACTCCAGCTGTAAGTATAGGCAAAGCAAACAGTCCTTCCAAGTGCCGATTGCATACGGTCTATTTAATTGGCACGTGGGGATTCTAGAATCAATCAACACCGAATCAACACCACATGAAACAAACCACTTGATTGAGCACCACGGAAGCCACCCCATGATGCTGCTGCGTGTTGCATGGCGAGATTGCCAACGAAGGTGAACCCCCCCAGCGCTGCAGTAGGTTACCTTGGGTCAGTGTTAGCACGTATCTAGGATGATCTAGGTATCCACCTTCGAAGTCCCAAAGTCCAACAATTCACACCGTCGAGAATCCCCGGGGGCGCTTAATTGCTGAATCTCACATGGTCGGCTCCATTCTTTCGCAACAAAAAACTCATGTCACATCCGGGGTGATGCTTGGTCACGTAAACGCGGGAAGCATCGCGCTGTCGAGCCTCTCGGCCCCATCCAAGGCCAAACACAAAAAGATTCAACGCTTGGAGGAGCGACACGACACATCGCAGCGCTTTTTTCTTGCGAGCAACGGCACGGAACCGGCACCGAGGGTTCCGCAAGCAGTGAGGTGACAAAGAGCCATCGCATGTGGTAGAGCATGCGGACGTGGGGTGCGATTGGGAACTCCTAGCCATTTTCCCATGGCAATATCACCCTGGTTGGATCAACTGAGATCCTTTTGAGCTGTGGAGCGCGTTTACTGTAACTATTTAACATTATTTAACTATATACTATAGGCCACCAACCTCATCACGAAGGCATGGAGTTAGGAGGGCCTATGAATTTGTATACCTGACACTTATAGGCGGATGTATCTCAGCTTGAGCGGTGCGGGGAGAAAAAAGACCCTCTTCTTCTTCTTTGCATGGGCGACGGACTTAAATCAGGCTCAGCGCTGATCCAAGAAAGCGCTAGGCTTAGCAGCTCAGCAGCGAACCAAAGAAACACGCCTCGACCTCGCAGGACGCCACCTCCTCGCGCTTCATCGTGGATTGCACGCCACTTGACGTCCTGATCGGTCGGTCCGATGTCCGTCGACCACGAGGGACCTGCACGATTTTTTTCCCAGGACGGCCCCTCGGGGCGGATCAAGCCCCGTTTTTTTGGTTTCTAATAGCAAACATTGTTACTACTAGTAAGGCACTTGTTCCTAGTAGAGACAACACTCGCCACCACTGCTTTTAGGGTTTAGGGATGTTTAGGGTACGTAGGATGCTCACCACCATTGATGGGCGAAAATCGACACCCACCGGGACTCTCCGGGACTCCCAGTTTCGTACCGCTATGAGGTTCGAGTCCTTCATGGTGGTTCATCTAGTCTTAGGCGGCATGGGCGGTGTATAGCATCATCAACCCCTTAATTAGGCCCTTGGAAGTTGCTTTGGCAAAGGCAACAGGCGTTTCATCGGAATATTTTGCCAAAGAGAATTCATGTTGGCATGTGCCGACTTGCCAAAGCTTTTGAAGTTTTGTTTGATTTGGTTTTCTCCTTCTTGCCGCAACGCCACCAGGTTTCAACAGAAGACGCTGCCTTTGGGGGACTACCGTTTGGGCCCTCCCATGCGCAAGCCTGCCGCAGCACCGGGGCGCCCGTCGCAAGCCCGTCGGGCGCGCACCCGAGAGAAGTACACGCGGGAAGATGATGTGACTTGATGCAGGTCCATGCAGGTTCGCCCCCAAGCTTCTTGTTCCTACTAGCTTCTTGTTACTACTAGCGTGGCACTTGTTCCTAATAGCGTCCTTGTTACTACTAGTAAGGCACCTGTTACTACTAGCATGGCACTTGTTCCTAATAGCCTCCTTG